CTCATTGACCCATTGGCTAATCATCTTTAAACTTCTGCTGAATTTAAATAAAGGGTTTAATTCCTGTTTAACCAATTAACTCGTAACTAATAACAACACAGTTAATTCTTATCATTTAAAACAGAGAAAATCCTCCATTTCAGAAGCTGGAGCCTGCACATCCATCATATTTGTGCCTAACACATTAAAAATATGTGATTATTAAAATAAATCAGTTTGTAGTTATTTTCTGCTGATATACCTATGGACTAAATAACAAATTAGTAGATGATCAATCCCACCTTAATTAGTGATATAAACCATATGTGACATATGTTAATGGGCTTTGGTCGTTTGACGAAGGCTTACATGATGTTTGGATGAAACTTGCTCTGATACAGCACATTTGGAACAACTTGTCTGACAGGTCCCATTAGTGGCCTGAGCCAAGCGCTGAAATTAAACCATCAATAGCTTTTCAAAGGGAACCCATGCGTGGTCTTGTTTTTGTCCACCTGCCTCTTATTGTGTGTGGTGCAGTTTTCCCTACTTACAACCCTGACAGATTTTCTAAGAATCTGGCAAATCTCAAATTTCCAGCAGGCTTCGCTCCATTAAATAAACCCAGTCCAGTCATTAGGCCAACCGTCACAGCTGGCTAAACATTATAACATGGGCTACCAACTGGCTAAGCTATCAAGCCATCACTATGTGATAAATGGGACTGCTGGAGAGTGTGAGAGAGTGCGTGCTGAATGTGTTTGTGTGAATTTTAACTTCCAGTCCAGTCAATTGCTTCTCTAACCACCTGTTCTATCCAAACACTCTTGCAGGTAATGGTATAGTAAACCTGAAGCTAATCAAATGAATACAGACTCAAATAGGGACCTGTTACTGCTAGGAAAAGGAAAATAAAAACACAAGCTACTAGCGATCTCTTTTTTCTATTCATTCTACTATTTCATTGCAAGGTATGACAGTGTGACAGCGACCCATCATGCATTTGTACCAAAACCCTGAAAGCCATCATTCATTTCAGTCTATGTGAATGTAAACAAGTCAAAAGATCTCCTGTGAAAAAGATCTATTGTGTCTGCAGTACTGATATTGAGGCTATTTTCTTCCTTTATTACACAGTGTACAGTAATTAAAGTGTTGACAGGAAAATAGCACAAAGAGACAAAGCTAACAAAAGGACCTGGGCACACTCAGGAAAACTGGATGTTGCATTTTTGTCACTTGCTTCTGCAATCATATCCAAAGAGCAGATTTCACCACTTCTACAAGCATAGAATATCCATGCTCCCTTCCTTTCTCTTATCCAGTTCAGGGTCTCAGGGGTGCTGGAGCCTATCCCAGCTGTCATAGGGCAAAAGGCAGGCTACACCCCAGACAATTACCAGGTTTATCACAGAGAGACAGACAACATTTCACATTCACGGCCAATTTAGAATAGCCAGTTTACCAAACCAGCACATGCAGTCTTTTGGACTGTGGGGATAAAAAGGTGCGAGCTCCACACGGAAAGGGCCCAGCAGGAGGGTGGATTCAAACCCAAGACTTTCTTGTTGTAAAATAACAGTGCTAATCATTGCACCCCTGTTTAAAAAGATCTGTAGCATCATAGCTGATACTGGGGTTATTTTCTTCCTCCTTTAAACAATGTACCGTAAGTAAAGGGTTGCCAGGAAAGAGAAGCAGCTATAATACAATATAATATAGCCTTAAATACAAATATCTTTGTGGTAAAGACGCATTTAATTGAGAAAACGGCTGAGTTTCTTCAAGCACACTGTTACTAAGAAGAAGAAAAAAAGAGCACCAGGAATACAGCTAGCCAACAATAAAGAATAAACATGAAGTGTTTTTTTGTAGTGCAACAACTTATCAAAAGGCTTGGAATAAATGATTTCCTTCCTTTTGTTGTACTATTAAAGCCAAGAACGCCTCTGATTTTAATCATTTTAAATTTAATTTTGTAATTGCTTTGCATTCATTTACTGTGTTATCTTGGTGTAACGCTCATTTCCTTGTGATAACAAGCTAATTATTTAGTTATGACATGAAAATAAACATTTTTATTACTCTTCCAGCACTATTCCTCCTCCTCCCTTTCTCATGTCTCTATCTTTCCCATTTCTATAGTTCATCCCCACTAAAATCTCAATTCCTCACTTAGACTCACTCCATTCATGCCGTCTAGATTCCTCATCCTGCATTTTTCCCTCCACATCTCCTTCGGCCTCTCTATCTTTCCCTCAGGCTGCTGCTTCCAACCACCATCCCAGCAGACCTCAGCAACTACCAGCTATTTGTTATCCTTTCTTCCAACCCTCCATCTCCACAGTGGCTACTTGACAGGGATGAAGGAAGAAAACTGAGTGAATGCCCACACACATGCACGCATGTGCACACGCACCCATGCACATGCTCGAAACATCATGCTCTATGCGCACCTTTACATTCGCACATACACATAAAACTGCACATGCACAAAGCTCATTACCAAGCCTATGTCACACCCCCTCTTGCACTCTCTAATCATTGCTGTTCTGACTGCTGCAAGCTGGACTGATACTGATAACAACAGAAACACACACACACACACACACACACACACACACCTAAACTATATTTGCGGATATACTGTATTGACTGTCATTCATTCCATAAAAGCTTACTACATGTGCAAAGTCATCAGAATTTCAAAAAAACCCTTTAACTTTAAAACTATCTCTAAAAAAAGCACATATACCTACCCAAAGTACACATTCTGAATAAATACAGTTTGCAGGACATAGTCTTAAGAGAGTTTTAACAGTGTGAAAGGACAGACAGGATAATGGGGAAAGTGATAGATGCTGGCGATGATACCCTCCCTCCTTGTAGGTCTTTTTCTCAAAGCCACAGTCATCCATTTGTCCCACTTATTGTTTTTTTCCTCAGTTATTATCTCGTCTATTTCAGCTCCTGTTTCTTTATGATGCATCATTTGGCCCTTCTTGTCATTATTCTTCCATCCCTCCCCACACTGCTCCCTTTCATTTCTCTATTTCTCTACAGCAATTCTGGTCTGGTCCTTTTCTGCTGTGTCCAGTACCGGGCATTTCTTTGGCTCCGTTTTGCTTTGGCAACATCACTGCACAAAAGATTTTTTGTTGTTGTTGTTTTTAAATCTCAGATGAAAGTCATGTTTGATCTGATGCTTTACAATGCGTGGGAGGGCACTCCTGGTTGCACGCTGACAGATCAATATGGGCTGTTTTGCAGCAATGTTTCAGATTCATTCATCATCAGTTAATTAGTCAAAATATGTAAAAATATTGCTTCAATTAAACAACATCATTACAGTTTCATTACAAATCCTTTGAGAGCATCTGCTATATCAGTTGGTAGATAGATGAAGTGTTCAAACTGAAAGGCAGCCCAATACACAAACATGCAGGAAAAGCCATCTGATTGTTCAGGCAACTAGCCAGACACTGTAACCCCGTTAAAACTGAATATCCGAATGGAACAACAAGTTTGTTAAAGTGAAAATTGGTGGTGAGCGGGTGGGAATTGATTCTG